ATTATTATTATTATTATTATTATTATTATTATTATTATTATCACACCACACTCTTAAAACAGGGCTAGGCCACTTTAACTGCTCGGACTATTTCCTGTTGCATTTTGGGGTTTGTAGTTCAGTAAAGCTTAAAAGCTCTCTGGATGAATATTCTAAATGCCCGTTTGTAAACTACATGTTCCAGAATGCAACAGAAGGCAGACAGAGCAGTTAAAGAGACCTAGCCCTGTTTTAGAGTGTAAAGGATCGTCTCCATTGATAGAATTCTCTCATAGACAGCTCTAGTTTACTCTCTTGAATATTATTAGATATCTCCAGCAGAAAAATCTAACTTCCTCCCTCAAACTGTGTATCTCAGGATTCTGTACAGTGGAAGAAGTCTCCACAGGGGCTGGAAGACCATCTGTTGGGAGTGCTTTGATTGCTTTTCTTCATGGCAGGGGGTGAGCTGAATGGCCCTTGTGGTCTCTTCCAACCCTATGAGTCTATGATTGCAGCCATGGTGTTGGAGAGCCCAAAGCTGGGGAAAGCTGCTTTTTGGATTACAACTCCCAGAATATTGCACCATTATGGGGATTCTGAGAGCTGTAATAAAAATGTAACATTCCAGGCTCTAAGCAATGCTCCTTCTTTATGAGAGCCTCCCTTTTCTCCTGCCTTTATTTATATGCAGTCCACACCTTCCCTGTTAATATAGTTATTTTTTAAAAAAAATACATCATGCTATTATTTTAACTATGCCAGTCTTTACAACCAATCCACTGCTTCATGCTGTGCCATTTCCTCTGTTTAGGAAGCAACTCTTCCTGGTACTGATTGACAAAGTGTCACGGCACTTTGCAGTGAGGTTGTTGCATGCATGATGACATGATAAAAAACAACAACCAGTAGATCATTAAAAAGTAAAAAAAGCTAGAGAAAGCCTCTCAATATATTTCTAAAATATTCTGAACTGGAAACTAGAAGCATTTCCTCCCAAATAACATTCAGTGGGCTAGAAAGTCACTCTGTTACCACTCAATTCATTGGAATTTGGGGGTGTTTGTAACTTTGGACACAGGGAAGTCTCTTATGTAATATAGGAAGGTTAAAAAAAAACCTACAGAAGAAAATGAAAAGGACTGCCTGGCTACATTACTTTCTTCAATGGAAGAGACCTCATTTAGATGCTTTTAGATAAAGTATCATTTAACCAAAGCAACACACTGGATTCTGTGATGCAGCACGGCTAATATAGGGTGGACATCAGTATTAGGGCCCTTTCACATTACAACATTATATAGCAGTATGGTTCCACTATAACTGCATGGCTCTTTCCTATAGAATACTGGGCTTTGTAGTTTGATGAGGTCCTACAAATATCTGGCTATGAAATCTAAATGCACCTCGCTAAACTGCAAAACTCATGATTCTCTAGGATGGTAGGATAGTATTAAAGTTGATGAATGTTCACATTTAATTTTGAAACATGTAATTTTTGAAATGGTAAACATTGTATATGCTGACTCATTGCTTGTTTTTCCTAGAGATTTTAATTACAAATAAGAATAACTGATTCCTAAATATGGGTGTCCACTGAGCTAGATCACCTAAATTCCAAGTGCAAATTCATGACACTGAAGTATTTTCTTTTTGTTTTTGTACAACTACAATGGAACCCTTTCCCAACCCCAACCCCAAAATTATCTTACAAGATCAGTTAACAACACATTTAAATAATAAAATGTCTCAGTTTCATATACAGATTTGAGCATCCACTGATCACCATGCCACATATTATTCAATGCTGCTGCACGCACATGGGCATGCTGACACACATCACCATCTGTTGGACAATATGAGACAATGG